CATTTCAGCCTCTGCCCACCCTGGTGTGGTTTTTCTGTTGTTGGTTTTGGGTTTTTGTTTTTGTTTTTCTGAGGAAGATTCACCCTGAGCTAACATCCACTGCCAGTCTTCCTCTTTTTGTTTGCAAGCCGCCTCTACAGCATGGCCATTGACAGATGAGTGGTGTGTGTCCACGCCTGGGAACTGAACCCAGGCCACCAAAGTGGAGCACACTGAACTTAACCACTAGGCTGCCAGGCCCTGCCCCCTCTGGGTTTTTTTTGTTGTTGTTTTTTTAAAGATTTTATTTTTCCTTTTTCTCACAAAGGCCCCTGGTACATCGTTGTGTATTTTTAGTTGTGGGTTGGGTCCTTCTAGTTGTGGCATGAGGGATGCCATCTCAGCATGGTTTGAGGAGCAGTGCCATGTCTGCACCCAGGATCTGAACCGGCAAAACCCTGGGCTGCCGAAGCGAAGTGTGCGAACTTAACCACTCGGCCACGGGGCCCTGTTTCTTATTTAATAAAATCTAAAGAGACAAAGGAGTGAAAGTTTTAGGATCATTAACAAAACCTTTGGCACTTGCTTTTGGGGTGATGGTGGTAGAGGAAAGCAAAAAGAGAAGCAAGCTTTCAGGAAGGTCATTTTGTGGTTAAAAAACAATTAAGATGTGTTGATGGCTCCGAAGTATTAGTGGGAGGCAGGCATTTCTTCACTATTACACTCTTTTTGTCCCTTGTATTAGTGAACATCCAGAATATTTTATTGGCCAAGATTCAGGAAACGAATATACCACTGAGTATGCTTGTGAATGTCGCTTAAAATATTTGTGTATTTGTTGTCCTACTTCTAAAATCAGTATAGAAGTAGTCATTTCCTATTTCAAAGGTTTGAAGCAAGACATGGTAGACAGTTATTATTTGGAAATTTCAAGGCTAAACCCTGAAATCATCTGTTTGTAGAAATCTAGGATTGTAGAATGTTATTTCCCAAATACATATACTTGTTAGTCCCTTGGCTTCTTATTTTGACAGTTTTATTGTAGGCCTACTACATTAACCAAAGCAGAGAATAAGCTATTTGTTTATGGAATTTTCTGGTGAATGTATTTCTGCAGTGAATCTGTCTGGAATAAAAGAATGTGTAGGTCTTATTTTGTTTAAGAAACATTATTAGGTGTAAATGGGACTTCTGGATTGGTCTGACAATTGTTCAAAGTATAAACATTTACAGTGAATATAAACTACTGGGTTAAATATCAGACCTTTCAAAAGTGGTACTGAAGCACCTTGATAAAATATTATATAGTAAGTTACAATTATCTAAAGCAGGCATCAGCAAACTTTCTGTAAAGGATCAGATAGTAAATATTTTAGGCCTTCTGGGCCATATGGTCCCTGTTGCAAAGATTCATCTCTGCTATTGTAGTGCAAAAGCAGCCAAAGACAATATATAAACAAATGAAAGTGGCTGTGTTCCAATGAAACTTTACTTAGAAAAACAAGCAGGGGACCATAAATTGCTGATGAGTTTCAATTAAAAAATACATCATATGTGGAAACTCTCTGTACTTTCTGCTCAATTTTTCTGTAAACCTAAAACTTCAAAAAAACATGTCAAAGAAAGTAAAAATAATTTAGAATCAGGTAATGATCAAAACCTCCATGGCATCTCTTGGTTTTCACTGAGTGTTAAATCTGCTTGATGACTAAGTCGTAAGCATCAACTGTCATGTATGCTCTCCAAGGGTCTCAAACTGTTTTATTTTATAGGGATCTTTTTTAGATCTTATTTTATTCATTGATTAAAACAAACAGAAAATTGTGACATGTGATTACCACATTTAGTAACACAAACACCCAGAGCACCTTCTTCAACACTTGGGGGAATTGTTGGAGAAATTGCTGATTTATGTTATGTTGCTATTCTCCTATCACTGATGTACTAATTACTTTGTTTGAGTTTCCATCCTACAGTATTTATTTTTCTCCTATTCTATGAATGTGCCATGGAGTATGCTTTTGAATAAGTCTGTTAAAATATTTACAATTAGGGGCTGGCCCCGTGGCCGAATGGTTAAGTTCGCGCGCTCTGCTGCAGGTGGCCCAGTGTTTCGTTGGTTCGAATCCTGGGCGCGGACATGACACTGCTCATCAAACCACGCTGAGGCAGCGTCCCACGTGCCACAACTAGAAGGACCCACAACGAAGAATATACAACTATGTACCTGGGGGCTTTGGGGAGAAAAAGGAAAAAAATAAAATCTTTAAAAAAAAAAAAAAAAAAAAAATATTTACAATTATCGGCTGTAATATCTCTGTAACTAATCTGATAATTAATTTGAAAAATTATTTTAAACTAGTGTTGCAGCTGAATTAACTTTACAAACTTAAATATGATTATAATGTATCTACTTTTAACTTTTTTATTGTGAAAGATAATACATACAGAAAAGTATATAAAACAGATATGTCCAGTTTAACAAATCATAAAGCAAACAGCAGTGGAACTACCATGCAAGTCAAGAAATAGAGCATTGGGGCCGGCCCCCTTGCCGAGTGGTTAAGTTCGCGCACTCTGCTTCGGCGGCCCAGAGTTTCTTCAGTTCGGATCCTGGGCGTGGACATGGCATTGCTCATCAGGCCATGCTGGGATGGCATCCCACAGGCCACAACTAGAAGGACCCACAACTAAAACTATACAACTATGTACGGGGGGGTTTTGGGGAGAAAAAGGAAAAATAAAATCTTTAAAAGTAAATTAGAAAGAAAGAAATAGAGCATTGCCAGCACCCCAGAACCCTCTTATATGCCCCTTTCCAACTAGAACTCCTTACCCCTGAGGCTAACCATAATCCTGAGTTTTATAATATCCATTTCCTTACTTTTCTTTATAGTTT